TTGCAATTTGAATGATCATTATTCATTCCCTCTGATATTTGAATTTTTGCGTAGATTGCTCTGCAGTCGCCTCGAAACTCGTCAGAATCGAAGTTATAAACAACTCATCAGTCCGAATTATCCTGAATTCAGATGATTCCAACACGAGAAGAAGCGCAGCAGATGGTTACATGTTATGGCTCCGAAAACTAGACGACACAAATTACCCCACACAGCCCACTTGCAGAATATACGCACCCAACGCAAAGTATTTCCTTCCCAATCTAATTCCTAACACAGACTATTTTCTCAAAGTTGTCATCCTCGAAAAGGATCGAGAATCCGGGTCATTCGAGATTCAGTTCAGAACAGGAGATCTTCCAGAAATCGAGGCTCAAAACCTAAACAACTCCAATTGTTCGGAAGCTAACTGCAGCAGCCTCTCGAATCCTTCCTCGGTCGATGAGACGAACAACAATAACGATAAAACCAGTGAAGAACTAAATCTTTTCCTTGATAAGCCAAAAAACGATGGTAATTCGCCTGTGGCTGATGGCTCGGAGAAAGTGAAAAAGGAAAATTTAAAAAAAAGTGGACGTGAAAAAAGTGACAAGGATTCAGACGAGCCTCAAGCTGGTAGCTCGTCTAAAAAAAGAGAGAAAAATCGAGATGGGGAGTGCAGCAATAAGGATTTGGAGTACTGTGTGCAAGTTATTCGGCGTTTGGAGTGTGAGGGTTATATCGAGAGTGGTTTCAGGCAACAGTTTTTGACGTGGTACAGTTTAAGGGCGAGCTCACGGGAGGTTGGGGTGGTGAGAGTTTTTGTGGACACGTTTATCGAGGATCTCGAGTCGCTTGCAGGCCAGCTCGTGGATGCGTTCTCGGAGGTTGTTTCGGGCAAGAGGTGCTCGACTGTGCCGGAGGGTTTTTGTCTGAAGCTGTGGCATTGACTTTGACTTTTGTGTGGTCTGTCTGGTGATGGGTTGCATTGCATGGCTTTGATTTATTCATTGGATTTTTAGGAAATTGTTGATTATTATTTGTTAGGGGTAGAGTTTATTTCTTGAGTTTTATGTCATATGAATATGATATTTTTTTTTTAAAATGGATTTCTTGAGTTTTATCTACACATATTGCTGGTACAAATGAACTTGAACTAGTCTTGAAGTGAAAATAGAACAGGTTTTTATGTCATGCTTTTTGCTCATGAACTGTACAAGTCTAAGTTCACCCACAAAATTCATTTGAAAATCTCCAAGGTTTTACAGTTCCACTCATCTACCTTCATATAGCTTCTCCAGACTTGCCAAATGAAATAACCGAATGCTTCGTTTACAACAATCACAATTCAATCACAATCAAACTGAACCGACTGAATTTTTGTCCAAAATTGAACCAACATATTCGTTTTTTTTTCAATCGGTCAACTGAATTAGCCAAAATTGAGCTCTGGCTGGTTAATTTGACTTTTCAAGAAAACCAAAAACCAACACTGAAATATATTATGGTCTGGCTGGTTGATTCGATTTTTTAAAAAACCAAAAACCAACACTTGTAAACCGAAATAACCAAAATTTGAAAATGAAAATCGGAAACGAAAGACAAATTGAAAACCGAAATTTAGGTCTGGTTATTTCAGGTTTAACAAAAATTTGTACCGCGCACGTTGTAATAAGAATACACTAACTACAAACTACAAGTGGAAAAATGTAAATCAAACTTAAACAGTAATATACCAGCAAATACCACTCTCCATCAAACAAAATAAAACTGTGTGCTAATGGAAAGAAAACTTAGAAAAAACTATGGGCTAAGGAGAAAAAAACTTGAACCATTTCAAGAATACTGACACAGCAAGTGCACCATACCAAAGTACCAACCACCACTTATTACCACTTTAATAGGGAAAAACAAGAAAGCTCTCTTTACTCATCATAAAATTATTTTCCGTTAATACCAATGCTCAATTACTTCCCAACAAAAAGCCTTAAATTTCAGGCACCAAAACCTCAGTTCATTGTTCACATTTCCCAAAACTCTTCTATACTTAGTTATATTGTCTTTCTTTAACCTCCTTCTTTTTTTTTAATTATTATTATTATAAATATTATTATCTGTTCACATTTCCCCAAACTCTTCTATTGTCCGGAGAAGGAGCATTATTGTATTATCTGTTCACATTTCCCCAAACTCTTCTATCGTCCTGTTCTTAACCTCCTTTATTATTATTGTTATTAGTATTATTATTAATTGCCATCATTTGTCAGAAACAAATCTCAAGATTCCATTATATACCATCATCACCTATTCACCTTTTTATTTTTCTCCTCCTAAAGGAACACTCTTTTCTTCTCTAGAAAAATGTCAGCTTTGGGTTTCACAGTCTCAGCTCAATTTGCTGCACCATCAAGCTACATATACATCAGCACTACTGAGAAGCATTTGATTGGGAAAGATTCGTGTTCTTGGAGCAGGAAAACCGTTTCGAATGGCTCAAAAATACGATGCATGAAGGTGAAAAAATGCACTAAATTTTCCTCAAAATATATATATTCAATTATCTGTTAAACACATGTGGTATACTTGCTTTATTCTCACTTTTGACTTTGTT